CGTCTCTCCCTCTTGCCTCATCTTACTACTGTTGACCAGAAAAGGGTGGTGGCTCATTAAACTACCAATACTTTCTGTGTTTGCAGAAGTGTATGAAACCGTGCCGTCGATATACAATTCAGCTTTAAGTTCTTTCTCAGCTGTCTCCATCTCAGTTGCTTATGTTTGGTTTCTAGTTTCCCTTCCTTGTACCTTTGCTTTTATTGTGATTTTTCACCCAAGTAAATGGGAGACCAGCTAAAGGGGTGGTGAATGGTACTAGTGGGAAATATGCTGCCACATCCCAGTGCAGGCCAGTGTGGCCCGACCTGTCGCTCTTCCAAGTTTGTGCTTCCAGCAGCCAGGATGGCAACTTATGCCTCAGGGCCCTCACTTCCCCACACCCACCTGGGATGGTTTCTGAGGCAGAAGTGCTCACACAGCTGAAATTAAAATTATTTGTTGTCATTTCACCTTCCCTCCTCCTGCCATCCCTCTTTCTACCTGCAAGTGTATGTGTGTCAGAAGGTAATTTGCTTTTGCAGAAGACTACCAGTGCCTTTCCCCCTTTTTGGTAACTAGCTCTCTGAACTCTCCTCGGAAGTCCTGCTGTTATAACCTGAGTGGACGGGTGTTACTTTGCTGAGTGGTGTACAAGGCGATGTGAGCCTATCTGTTGTATCTGTGTTTAATGTGCACCGAGCAGCTAGACTGTGGTCTGTGGCGTTGCTGGAGGGAAGGTGTGTTCAGCTGGACTCATTCTGGATCACAGCAGCCTGTGCCCAGAGTCGGGCATAGAGTCCATCTTTCATGTCCGCTTCCATCCACCACGCGAGGGCATATGTGAAGGAGGACTCTGAGGCCATGTGTGGCACAGCACGAAACAGTGCCGCGATCAGCTGATGGCATCTGCCGTGCTCACAGGAACAGGGTGTGGTGGTCCATGGATTCTCCCTTGGACAGCTCTCTCCTGAGCTGCTTAACGCTGCTGGCACATACAAGATCACAGGCCTAAGGAAATTTTATGTAAATCCGGTTTTCCTTGCATAGTAGCGAGCCCTTTAGTTTTGCCAAAGGACTGAAGAATGGTAGGAGGAGGGGGGCCTTTGGGGCTATAACCCAGACGCCTTGACCACAGTCACAGGATCTTACTGGTCAAAGTGCTTGTCCATCAGTTTCCTAGAAACAGCCCCATGGAGAGAAGCATGGCCATGAGTTCATGGCTCAGGATTTACTCGTCAGAGTAATGCCAAGGTCCCACCTTTGGAATGGCATTATTCCGTGTTTCCCAGTGCCCCACAGATCTCCGCAGGTATATCAGTACATCTCGTCTTCATAATGAACCTAGAGCATTGGCCATAAGTGCCACACCACAGAACTGTGCATAAAAAAGGATGTTTTTATTTTAACTCGAGTGCTTAGAAGTTTGACTCATGGCAGGGAGCCTGAAGTCACGTTGGGTACAGCTCACAGAGCGGCTTCTGACTCTATCGTCAGGAAACGGTTAGTCTGACCACCCCAAGTGGGAGGAAGAAGACCACAAGTTCTTATACAAATATTTTCATTGTGATTAACTTTTAATGTCTTGAGCCTGCATTGACTGATTTATTTCAGTTTCTTTGTCAACGAAGGGAAGAGAGTAAGCCAAGACCTGTCCAGAAACATTTCTTACTCAAAACTGCAAATGTGTGAAGTGGTAACAGAGCTGTCCCTTCTACAAAAGAGAATTCTTTTCTCCAAAATGATTTTGATTGAGTTTTGGGTTTTTGCATCGTAATCGTTTAACAAATATTTATTGAGCTCCTACAGCATGTGGCGCCGTTCTAGACCCTCACGATGCAATGCTAAAACCAAGACAGAAAATAATCCCTGCCCTCGAGGAGCTTACTATCTGTTTCCTTTCATTATTTCATAACTGTATAGATGGTGTTAGTTGTTTATTCCAGTGGTAATACTTTTTCTTGGTGGATTGTAAAAGATGAGTTTTTTTCTTAGTTTGGTTAGATGTAAGGTCCTGCTTCCAGTGGTGTTCTGGTGTGTCATTTTTGTACTGTTTTGTTGAACTTGAAAGAGTAGTTTGTAATGAGAGTTCTCATTGGCTTAGATTCTTTTCTCTATCACAAGGAACACACTTCTAGGGGAGAATTAGCATTTTATACCGATTTTTAAAACTGTGTCCTTCTACCTAGCCTGCCTGTTTTCCTAAGAAAAGCATTGTGAATTGCATATTGGTCACACATATAAGGGAAATAGCTGTTAGATAGTGTTTTGAAGAAATGGATATAGATCTCTTTCTCCTCCATTAATCAGAATTTCTCAACCTTGATGCTATTAACATTTGGGGCTGGTTAATTCTTTGCTGTTGGAGGTTGTCCTGCATTGTACAATGTTTAGCAGTATCCTTGGCCTCTACTGACTAGGTATCAGTAGTGCCTCTTTTCCCTGAGTTGTGGCAACCAAAAGTGTCTCTCGACATTGTCTGTTATGTTCCTTGGTGGGTGTGAGAGGAGTTAAAGTCAGCCCCAGCTGAAAACCGCTGGTGTCGATAATGTGATACTGTGATTCAGTTCTCACAGCTTCTGATTACAGTAGATCAGTGAAATCCCTGAAAAAAAGCACCTGGGACAAGAACTGTCTTCTGTTGGGCCTTTGTGGGAGCTCAAAGCAACTTTCTGCCATAAAGGAGTTAATATAAAATAAGCAAGATACTTCTCAATCCTGTGAAGCAATACCCACAACAAATGATGAAATTCCTTCAATAAATCATGCCTTCGACATAGTTTGCATTTCCTATTGGAAATTGGTTAAAATGGCATTCATCTACCATAAGTTAGAGAGCATATTGGACCCAGTATATTTTAAGTTAATCTTGAATGATTTACACATAAATGTGTTCCAGATTGGGTGATCTCAACTCAGGCAGTGGGCGGCTCGTTTCCAGACATTTCCATTCTCAGGAACTGACATTGAATTCCACAAGTATTTATTGAAATGTGTAATGTAAGAGGACATTAGAGCAGTCTGATGCTGCTTTCATGTCCCTTTTCCCCAGAAAGGGCGTGCTCAGAACAGAGTCTCTGTATCTGATATGACATTCCCCACTTTGGATTGCAAGATACTAAGAGCAACTAGTGCTTTCATTCTTCTTCACGACTATCTGTCCCTTCCATTCCCTTACCAGCTTTGCCCTCCCCAGTGAACACATGTAATTACATATGATGTCATTCATTTCTTATTTGATCCTTTGGTTCCATACGGGCCACTCTTCAGAGTTTTGGAAGGGACATCCATTGCATGTTCTACCTACCCCCATTGACCTGATAGGTATTACAGTCCAAAGTACAATCACTTAACCAAATTAACCTTGTATTTCTGAATCCTCTTTCTTTCTCATATATACCAATAGATTAAAAAAAAAATGTATGGTCAACTGCTGATGTTAGTTGCTGAGAGAAGGGTTGGTCTTGGCTGCAGAGAGAAAGGGTGACAGAGAAACATACTGGGCTAGAGAATTCTCCTTCACTCATCTGATCTTCTGTATTGAGCACCTACCGTGTGCCACGCACTGGCATTATAGCTATGACAAAAGTGGACAGGGCCCTGTTTTCCTGGAACCCACAGTCCACCGGGCCATGAGATAAGTGGGCAAACCATGTTTTAATATGGCAGAATAGGTGCCATGATGGGAGAAATCAAGATGCCAGGGGAGCACTTAGAAAGAGCATCACCCCAGCCTTGGAAGGTGCGTGCGGGGATCAGAGAAGGCTTTGCAGAGGAAGTAGTGTCTTACCTGGAACATGAAGGGTATGTTGCACTTCAGGAAAGAATGTTCCAGGCCACGTTCCAAGGCCTAAAGGAAGGCAGAAAAAATTGAACCTTTAAGTAACTGAGAAGTTCGGCATGTCTGGATAGTAGAGTGTGAGACAGGGAGAGTGAGAAGTAAAACGGAAGCAAATAAGGTTGCTTCCCAGGATTCTGACTTGAGCAAGTCAGTCATTGATGGTGGCATTTCTACAATAAACACAGAAGTAGGTTGGAGGAGGGTGGGGTGACAATGACCTGAGCTTTCAATCCACCACTAACTCTGGAACTTGAGATTGATTTTTTTTTTAATATTTCTGAAAGATGTCAAAAGCTAATGGAAATTTGGAAAGTTAATTAGCAGCTGAAAATGATTTTGTTACTGTAGGCTATCATGACATCCTGCAAATATACCCAGACCTCTTTGTTTCTACCAATTTTATTCTATTTTTTAATTTTTTTAAAGGTGGGGAGAGGCAGAGGGAGAGGGATAGAGAGAATCTTAAGGAAGCTCCACCCCTAGCCCAGAGTCCAACGTGGGGCTCGATCTCACGACCTGAGATCATGACCTAAGCCAAAATCAAGAGTCAGATATTTAACCAACTGAGCCACCCAGGCACCTCTAATTGTATTTTTCATCCAGCAACGATTTCTTAATTTTGATACTTATCATCATCTGACTGCTTAAAATTCACCAGGTGTGTGCCTGAATAATGGGCACCCATGAGAAAAGAATTATGATGAGCTGTTCAGGGGCTATCTTCTGGCTTTTCCAGCACTCCTCCACCCTCTTGCTTGGATTTTTTTTTTTCCCCATAATGGAGGTTTTATTCTAATATTGCATGGACTCACTTTCTAGAGCATATATTATCCTTTTAGATAACTAAAGAAAAGCATAATATGTAGTCTTGTGCTATCTTTAAGCAGGTACATAATGTTTGAGGATTTTAAGGGGTGCAGGCCTCATTTCAGGACATCGCTGCCTAGTGACCATACTCTCTGTGGCTCCTGTCACCCTGAGCACAGGGGGAACGAATGTGATTGTCAAGTTAAGGCCATGAGATCGCTTCTAACCATCAGCCCTAGCCACTGCCTTTCCTCCTGTCCCTTTTAGGCCTGAAAATAGCCAAGGGCGAGCCTTATAAATGATCCCTCTTTCATCCAGCAGCCCCGCAGCTACCGAGCATCAAGTTCACGTGGCTCCCTTTTGTTTTCGGCAGGAATTTAGATAATGGGCTGTGTGCAATGTAAGGATAAAGAAGCAACAAAACTGACGGAGGAGAGGGACGGCAGCCTGACCCAGAGCTCCGGGTACCGCTATGGCACAGACCCCACCCCGCAGCACTACCCCAGCTTCGGCGTGACCTCCATCCCAAACTACAACAACTTCCACGCAGCCGCAGGCCAAGGACTCACCGTCTTCGGGGGTGTGAACTCTTCGTCTCATACCGGGACCTTGCGTACCAGGGGAGGAACGGGTAAGAGTGAAGCTGTTCTGCATTCTTTTGTCAACTGAACATTCCTGTTCCAGGCCGCTCCCTTTGACTACGGATTAAACATTAAGTTTTTCATCAGTCTCCATCTCTCCACTGCCAGATGAAGGGCTCTTAAAACAAAAACAAAAACCGAAACAAACAGGACTTGATGGACTGAGGAAATGCTGGCTTCAGTGGGGCGAGGTGCCCCCAGGTTGCCGCTCTGGGAGGATTCTGCGTGGGTTAGGAGACACACAGCTGGCTCTTAGGTACTCTAGGCCAATCGGTGGTCCCAGCGGTGGCTGGCTGTCTCAGAGTAACTAGCAGCTTTCTCAGAACACTGAGTCCCATCCCAGATCTTTTGAATCAGAAGCTCTGGGACTGGATCTGAGACTGTCATGTTTTGAGTCCTCTAGATATCGGTGCACTTTCCTCCCCTCCCCCAGCTAAGAGCCACTTCGCAGGTGGTAGCACCTTCTCCCTCATTTTCCTAATCGCCAGCCTGCCTGTCACCTTCCAGCCAGTGGGGACATTTGGCGGCATCCGGTTTTGGCCGTTCCTCCTCATTAATGCTCTCTCTGATCTTCCCATCACCTTCCATGGGACGCAGTTTATCAACCCTCAAGTGTATTGTGATCTCTTGTATCTTAAAATCACATTTTATGTATTCTAAGGAATCCTTCTCTCTCTCTTTTTTTTTAAGTTTCCTTCCCTTTCCCACCATGACGCTCTGTTTTACTGCCATGTACATTTGCTGACTTAGCTAATACTTTGTAAAATATCTGGCATACATTCTCAGACATATGTTTCGCAGAATATTTGTAAGTTATCTCATGCATCCTTAGCCTTCCAAATCATCTTCCAGCATGTGAATCATGGTAACTAGATATTTGACATTATTTGTTCCAAAACTGTTTTGTTTATTAGAAAAGTTTAAAGAAATATACGTCAGCCATTATGCTCTTGGCTCATCTGGGAGCAGAAGACTTTTATGAGGACCCCACTGTGCCTTTTTACCTGGGGGGGTTGGCACTACTGAGACATTAGCAGGGTTTTTGTTTTTGTTTTTGTTTTTTGTTTTTCCCCTCTGCATGCCACATGGCGGTATAGTTCTATCCAGGGGACCTGACCCAGAGCTTTAGGCACCACATCATTGTGTTGTAGTGGATCCAACTTTCTCTTTAAAGTAGGCCCTGTGTGAGCTAATGAGTGTTAGCACACTCACTAATCTTTCCTCCCTTCCTGGAAGGCACCTGGAGTAGAGGGAGGAAAGAAAGAAGCATTCTATGGAAGTCTGTCTCTGAGGATGCGGGAGGGGGAAAAGAGCCAAAAATGCACCAGCACACACTTCCTGTGCCTGCTGAGTTCTCGCCAACCAGACTGAGTTCTGCTGATGCGGACATTGACCTTGCTCATTCATTCATGAATGCTGGATCTGAATCCCTGTGTCTGCAGGTATCATTCATAAAGTCACTAGAAAGGGATAATTGCCTTGAACATGGGAGTCTACACTGTAGTCAGGGACAACCTTAGTATAAGAGGCCACCTGGTCCCTTTTAAAATTTGGAAGTTAATACACAGTACTCCCAAATGTTGGCAGATTTCTCTGCCTTGTATTATTTGGCTTTGTTTTATGTGTGTGTCTGTCTCTCCATCACTGTGCTTAGTGCTTTAAGGCCGAGAACAGCGTCTGTGTGCCCCTGTGACCTCCTTTGACTCTCCCCTCCATCCTTAAAAGATCAAAACCCCAGTGAGAACTTACTGGCCGAGCAGGGAGAGAGTGGGAGACTGGAAGTGTCTGTCCTCGTGCGCCTTATCTTCCACACGATGGAGCTTGGGTTTGTTTTCAAATTATGTAACAAAAGGAGTCTGTTAATCGAGTGTTCAATGAGAACAAGCATGACTTTACAGGCTTCCACGTCTTTGTTTTAAGCCAGTTTCTAACCTTTCAAAGAAATTGAAAGTTGCCAAGTGAACCCTGCTACTTTGCACGGTCAGACCTTCTGAATGCCAGTTCTCCCCCAGGAAGTCCCACTTGGGATCGGGTAGAAAAACAAGCCCTGCCTCCTTCTCTGGTCTTCAAATAGTCCCACAGGCACATCTGCTCCCTTGGAAGTACTGACACAGCAAAATGGCGGCTTGGTAAAGCGTGGAATCCATGCCATGCGTTCTTTAGGCCACTAAAGGCACTTCGAAGTGTGCGGAGATCAAAACGAGGAGCCAGAGAGTGAAGAAATGGAATGTATTAGTTAACAACGGCTGCATAACATGTTACTACAAACTTAGCAGCTTTAAGACAAAGCATATTTAGGACCTCACAGTTCCTGGGGGTCAGAAATCCAGGAATGGCTTCTCTGGGAGCCCCATTTCAGAACCTCTCACTGGCTGCAGTTCAGGGGGTGTCGGCTGGGCTGCAGTCACCTCACAGCCCAGCTGAGGAGGATCTGCTGCCAAGCTCGTGTGGTGCTGGCAGGACTCAGTTCCTCGTTGGCTGTTGGCCAGAGGCCACCCTCAGTTCTTTGTCATGTGTGTCTTTCCAACATGGCAGCTTGCTTCATCAAAGCATTCAGGCCACAGTGGCAACACGGAGAGTCGGCTGGGAAGACAGAAGTTGCCATCTTCTGAAGCCTCGTCACTTACGGGACATCCCATCACCTTTGCCATGTCCTCTTGGTTAGAAGCAAATCACTGGGTTCGCCCACACTCACGGGAGGGGGATTACACATGAGCAGGAATGCCAGGAGGTGGGAATCATGGAGGACTGTCTTGGAATTCTACCCACTATATGAAGGAGGTCCTAAGTCAAATGGGCTGCTGGAGATTTCCTGTTGTTGACAGCAGACTTGTGCAGAGCAAGAAGGGCCTCTGTGGGGACTCCACCAGCTGAGAAGACGTAGGTGGGGGGTGTGAAGAGGAATAAGGACTACAGATCACTGCAAGGGTAGGCAGACTTGTGGCAGGAGAGAGGGAGTCCCCAGAGCAACTGCAGATGCCAAGAGCAAGATATCAGTTAGGGTGAGCATTTGTGAGAGGGTCTTCTCAGACCCAGGCCGCAGAAGGAGTCTCCCGTTACAGTCTCCATTACTGTGAGGTCACGGGAGAGAGGGATCTGTTTTACCCTCACCCTAATGTGGGCTCCTGAGAGGAAGGGAATCTGTGTCTTTAACTGCCGCAGGCCTCCGCAGATCTGACCTCTAACACTGCTCTTGGTTGTGGACATGATATTAATATCTGTCTCTTCCCAAGGACTCGTTCAGAGATCGCACAGTGCTTCCCCTGCAAAGGGCGAGGCATGACTTCAGCCCTGCCACCCTAGTTTCATGTTAATTACATCATCGCACCATGTTATCACTGCTGATTAGACGAAGATTGTGAGAATGAGATTTCAGTGAACGATGTCATTTCTTGGCATTAATTTCCCCTTGTGTAATAATCTCTCCCCTTTTGGTTCTCAGGAGTGACCCTGTTTGTAGCCCTTTATGATTATGAAGCACGGACGGAAGATGACCTGAGTTTTCACAAAGGAGAGAAATTCCAAATACTGAACAGCTCGTAAGTTCGGAGAGGGACAGGGAAGTGTGCATGTCTTTCAGATTGAGAAAGGATACTTGTGTTCCCAGTCTGTGCCTTTTTAGTTTCTGAAATGCTAAAAGAACACTTGCTGAATTCAGTAACGGGTAACAACTGAACTTGAGACATGAAGAGTTGACGAGCCAGTGCAATATTTTACAGGGCTGGTGTCCAAGGAGCTTTTTGGAAGACACCACAGTCTCAGAGTTGAGGCTTTTGGTTTACAGGTTGGAAAAGTTCCGGTTTCGCCCCTTGTAGATCTGTGTTTTCCGATGATTGGCACAAAGCTTGGCTATCCACACCACCGTCTCTCTGCCTTGACATGGGTTGTTTGGGGTTTTTTTGTATTTTGCAAAATGCACTATCTGAGCCCTCACTCACAGCCGGCAACAAGTTCCTTCTGTTTTCAAAACTGCTAAATACTCTGATTGGTGAGGCTCTGGAGGCGTTGCCCCATAGTGAAAATTCGCAAGTGACTGAAATCTTTGTGAGAGGGAAGGAGAAGTGATTTCGCCCACTTGCGAATGACTACAATGTGTGCGTTTTAAATGTGACCCGTAGGAACAACAGTTAAACAGGCAATGGGGACATTCTAAGGGTAAGAATCACTCACTGTAATTCTACACTTAAGACCTATAGAAGAGTAAACATGGTATATATGATATTATATATAGGGAAACATATCTCCCTGTAGGTTTTAAATATTGCCTCTATTAGGTTAAGGCAGTATGCCTGTCCAGGAACTTCTGGCCTCAAAGAAAATGGTGGTGGGAGCTCCTAGCTGGTGCAGTCTGTAGACCATATAACACTTGATCTTGAAGCTGTGAGTTCGAGCCCCACATTGAGTGTAGAGTTTACTTTAAAAAAGAAAAAAAGAGGGTAGCTAGCTCAATCAGTTAGGCATCTAACTCTTGATTTGGGCTCAGGTCATGATCTCAAGGTCGTAAGATGGAGCCCCATGTGGGGCTCTGTGCTGGGCATGGAACCTGCTCAAGTTTCTCTCTCTCTTTCTGCCCTCCCCCCCCCCCCCCCAAAAAAAAAAAAAAAAAAGAAAAGAAGAAGAAAATGGTGATGTCCCCATCAGCAGTCAGGCCTCTTACCCTGTAGCTCAAGTTTTCCTTGTGAGCACTCCCCAGGGACTGGGAAGGCATGCCACCCCAGGGCTGGGGGCCTACCAGGAAGTCCTATGCCACCAGCTCCACTTGCTGTGTTCTCCATTCCCTGAGCAAACTGCGATGGCAGAAGGACCGGTCAAAGCCTGGCTCTTCAGCTTTCCTGAGAGCTCCAGCAAGAGGAGAGGGGAGCAAGGGGAGCGAGACGGCGCCCCAGAGCATCCCTGTCCTGGGAAAGACAAGTGGTCATTGTAACAGGGAACTCCCTCGGGCCAGAAAGCTGCTTCCTTGGAAAGCCCACCCTTTCCTGGGATGCCCCCAACTCTTAGAATATACCACCTTTCAAGGACAGGTGCTGGGTTCCTCCCACAAGAGGTCACCCTTCTGGATCTCGGAAAACAGTGTCTACATAGTAGCCACGGGGTTGCTCGGGTTTTTTTACTTATTATTGTCATCATTAATGGGTATGGGTGGGGGGTTTTTTTGAACTTTTTAAATACATGCAGAAAACTGCATGTGTCAGAAGCATGCATGGTGGTGGTCACGCAACAAATTGGGCTTAGTGCTGCCTAACTTTACACTTGAAAGTGGTTGAGGGGCGCCTGGGTGGCTCAGTGGGTTAAAGCCTCTGCCTTCCGCTCAGGTCATGATCCCAGGGTCCTGGGATCGAGCCCCACATGGGGCTCTCTGCTCAGCAGGGAGCCTGCTTCCTCCTCTCTCTCTCTGCCTGCCTCTCTGCCTACTTGTGATCTCTGTCAAATAAATAAATAAAAATCTTTAAAAAAAAAAAAAAGAAAGTGGTTGAAATGGTAAATTTTGCTATGCGTGTTTTACCACAATGTTTTCAAAGTGTACAGTTTGCTGTATTTGCACAAACTGAGTATCCCGTGCAACCAGCACCCAGATCAAGAAGAACGTGACCTGCCCCCAACAAAGCCCCCACAGCCACAGAGATTTTTTTTTTTTTAATAGGAAACAGCTGCCATTTACTACAGCTCCTCTGTGCCGGCTGTTTACTCAGTTGCAAGTGTCCTCATGCAGGCAGTTGTCTGCGATGTGCCTCACAGTCATGGTTCGACATACAAGGAGCCAGAGGCTGGAGTTAGGGAGCTGCCTGGGTGCCCAGAGGAGCCAGCAGGGGGCAGAGCCACGGGTGAGGTGTGGGAGTGGCACCCTGAGGACTGTGTCAGGTTTGGTCTCAGAAAGACCCAGAGGACCAACCCCCAAACTCCAGCCCAGAGAAGACTGAACCTTTCAAGATACATGAAAGTTTAGGTCGGCTGGGACATGGGAGAGAGGGGAATTGGGCTTTGATCTCTTCTGATCTATGATTCCTTATTGTTATTTTGATTCTCAGATGAATGCTTCTCCTCTGAGTCTACCTGCTTTGAATTCTGAAATACCCTCCACTTCCCCTCCCCGTACTATATAATTTTCTCTCAGTCCCAAAGCTGGTTAGAACTTCTAACCAACTTCAGAAAGGTGAGAACTAGGGAGGTGTAGGAAGTACCACCCAGCTCTTCCTCTGCTGGTTTGTACACACTGCAAGGCGATCTGATGTGTGGATCGCCTTGCAGTGTGGACAAACCAGCAGAGGATCCACACATCAGATCCTGGGACCCTTGGAAAGCCAGTCCTTGCCAAAGTCAAATTTGTGACTTCTTCCTTTGTTGATCTGGATAGGATCGACAATGGCATCCAGTTGAAATTTTGAAGAAACATTCCAGGAAGATCCAGTCTATCTCAATCTGTGTTTTATGATTTACATGAATGGCCTTTCGTGTTTTACAGGCTTTGAGGCTCTGGCCTTGTTCTCTTATCAGAAAATATTACGAAGTTTTTTTTTTTTTCCCTTATTTAATGTTCTTCCTTCTTGCCAGTGAAATTCCTCATCTTACATGCCATTTAAATGCCCTTTTCCAGGGTTATGGGGGAAAAAAAGGTTTTTACAACAAATACAGTATCTTGAAGTAAAGGGTAATAACAGGGAAGAGTAAATCATGAAGGACAAACAAAGCAATAATAGAGAACCAGATGGCAAGCGCCTCCTTCCCCCTCCCCCAGTCCCTCCCAGCCCCTGGCTCTCCTCCACTGGGGGGAGAGGAATGGCACTCTGTTCTCCCTGGGGCAGCTGCCACACCTCCTAGTACTTGTGTCCTCCCACTCCTTACCCCATCCAGAGGCAGAAAGAGAAGGCAGCAGGGCTGGCCTTTGTGTTTTCAAGTATGGCAGGACCCGGGTGGTATATGTGCGTGCTTGTGCCCAGAGCCAGTGGCACGGCCGCCCGGCATGGGGTGAGGGTTCTTCAGGGACCTGTTACAAGTACTCGGTGTATTGCACTTGCACATCAATAAACTTGAACCCATTTTACAGACTACTTAAATGCATCTATTTTATTCCCTATTTTCACATTTCGTGACTTGGTGATTTACCACCTAATAATAAACATGTTACACAGAGTGGAATAGTGCCTATGGTAGTGACTCCTTTAAAGTTCTTTCCATCTTGTTAAGGAGAAATCCCGGATTAGCGGGTCCCATCTATGCATTTGATAACGTTGTTATGGATATGCTCTCTTATGTAAGATGACAGTAACCAAATTGAGAAAGAATATAGCATTTATAATAAAAACACTCAACAGCTCAATGGAACAGGCTCTCTTCTGTGTGCAGATGCCACTTCCTGGCTGTCTCAGGGGCCAACAAAACCAATGAGTGATTTAGGGGATTGAGAACGGGCTCTTTTAGTAAGTCTTTAAATTAGAGAAATAGGGGAAGCTATTATAAAAACTTAAAAGTTATTCTAAATGAGAGCCTTAAATCATATTTTTGAGTCAAAGCAAGATAAAGTTAAAGAAAAGCTCACCAATGCTGAATTAATGAAATATCTGAACTGTAAGAACAGGTTTTTTTTAAGTGCATTTTTAATAATGTTAATTTTCACAATAATTTAAGAAGTAATAAGTCACATAGTAAAGATTCTGTTTTCCTAAATCAAGGTGAATGATTTGTGAAAGAATATTTGTGGATGAATTGAACTTCCAGTGCATTGAAAGGATGATTTATTCATTTACTCAAAAGATTTTTTTGATAGATGTTTTGAGTCTGTACCAGCCTTTTTGGCACAACCTGTGAGGCTTACTACATAATACATTGTTTCCTTATCACCTCATATTGCCTTTGATGGAAAAAGTGACCCTAGATGGCCTCAAAAAAAAAAAGAATTTTCTCTTTCTCATGAGTAACTGAAAACCTTTGTGAGATTAATGGAGTCACTTAAGAGAAAATCATGAATTCCTGATACATGACTTTAGAATGAGCTGATAGTTGGATTCTAATCTGTGCTAAACTATTTAGGTGCTAATTTCAAAATGAGATGTTAGTGCTGGATTTGAAATGGAAATTGTAGTTGACCCTTGAGCAATGGGAGGGTTGGGGCACCAGCTCCCCCACAATGTGCCGTGGTCAAAAATCTGCATATAACCTTGACTCCCCAAAAACTTCTAATAGTCTATTGATGACTAGAAGACTTACCGATAGAGTCAATTAACACATATTTCATATATGTATGATATATACTGTGTTCTTAGAATAAAGTGAGCTAGAGAAAAGAAATGTTATTAAGAAAATCATAAGGAAGAGAGTACATTTACTACACTGTTTTTATTGGGAAAGATCTGCGTATAAGTGGACCCATGCAGCTCAGACCTGTGCTGTTCAAGGGTCAAGCATAGTTGATTAATCCCGAATCATCTGACCGGGCGTCTTGGTGGCTAGGCTGTTAAGCCTCTGCCTTCAACTCAGGTCATGATCTCAGGGTCCTGGGATCAAACCCCGCATCTACCTCTCTGCTCTGCAGGAAGCCAGCTTCTCCCTCTCCCACTCCCCCTGCTTGTGTTCCCTCTCTGGCTATCTCTCTCTCTCTCTCTCTCTGTCAAAAAAAGAAAAAAAAAAGAAAGAAAAAGAAAGAAAGAGAAAGGAAGAGAAATCCCAGATCATCTGAGTAAGACGGGTTGTCCAGCCCCTGCAAAATGTATAGGCTTCCTGCCTCAGGTGACATTTCCACGTACCCAACATTGATACTAGATAGTCTTCTTAATTTAAATCAATTAGAGCTAACTTGATGGAGGTTGCAATTAAAGATAACCTGCTGCTGAAAGCTCTTAATTTTTTACTATTTTGGAGCATTTCCTGGGTGTGGGGTTTGGGAGGTGGAGTAAGGGAAAGAGAAAGGAGAAGGTCGGGGAGATGGTAGGTATTGTTAATTTTTTATGATGAAATGTCTCCATCTGGTGGAACTTTAGAGTAGTAAACATTGTCACCAGCTTGAAGCCTCCAAAGCCATTTCTTAGCACATGTTCAAAGAAAAAAATTAATTTCCACATGTGTTCCTAGATGGTATACTTATCAATTGCATGTATTTCTTTTAAAGGAAACAGAAATGAAACCAGTATAAACTGTTCAACGGTTAACAGTTTTACTTTCATGATTTGAGGCCAAAAGCCAGAGGAATCCAATAGGGGAGCAGCACAGTACACCACACGATCAGTAAAGACCCAGATCCTAAGTCGAGTGGTGTGTCCACAGGGGTTCATACACACGTATGTTCCTCCGTGCCTGTCAGTCATTTCCTGAGACAAATCTGGACATAAACTAAAGTTTTCTTAGCAAAGGACTTCCCAGGTATGAGAACTTATCTCCTTGTTTTGGTTGATTTGTTTGTTTAAATTTGTCTAATAGGGTGAAAAAAGGAAAGACTGAAAAATGAATTAAAACATAAGTTTTTAGGGGCATCTGGGTGGTGCTGTCAGTTAAGTGCCTCAGGTCCTGATCTCAGGGCTGTGGTATGGAGCCCCGCATCGCAGAGCCTGCTTAAGATTCTCTCTCTCCCTCTCCCTCTGTCCCTCCACCTTCTAAAATAAATAAATAAATCTTTAAAAAGCCAAAAGACATACGTTTTTAAAAGCCTTTGCCAGCACCCTGTTTTCTCATGGGCTGATTTGTGTCACTTGTGCCACCAAGCACTGGCCCACAACCACACCCAGAGCATGTGCAGGCTTGTCACCACTTGCCTGTTACTTTATTAAATCCTGTCTGAGTTGTTGCTCATCAGTCTCCTCGCTCAGAGAGTCAGTCTTCGGAGAATGGGGCTCTCGAGTAAAGCGCATGTTAATACAGAGGCTGGTTGTTCTCTACCTGATCCCATCAGCCTGAGGACGATCTTGACCGGGGCTAAAAGCTAACACATTTTCTTCACTAGCTGAGGGCTTTGACACAGAGTCCGGCCACAAAATGATGTTTAAAAAAAATAAAAGGGTAGGGTTTTCTCTTGCTGCCTCCAAGGACCAAAAGAGGAAGGAGAACAGGCCCTGAGCCCCTGCTGAGGAGCCACCAGACAGGTCTTGGTATGCCCAAGAGAAGCGGCCTCCCCTCCTCCCCTGCCCTCGCACCCCTGGCCGCAGGCGGGAGCCGGGTTCTGTGGACTCCGCTGGGCTGTGGACAAGGCAGGGCTGCAGCCCCACATATGTGTGTGGGGAGAGTCACACACTCTGCCCCTTCTCTCCGTCACACGTCCATTGCCGTGAATCCAACACGTGAACTCTAACCGTTGAACTGACCCGTTGGTTCTAAGCTGAGAGTGGTGTTACAAGCCCCCCTTTCACGTCCTTCTGCCCGCAGACCTGAGAGCCCTCCCTCCCCATCCCGACTGAGACAGGCTGTTGCCTGGAGCACTGGGTCTTACAGAGTGGGGAGACTCAGAACCTCAAGTGCCTGGCCGGTTTGTGTCCTCCCCCCACCCCTGCACACTTGTACACACACAGCTAGACCCTTCCTCTCCTATGCACCAGACTCAGATCTGTAGTCAGTGGAATAACCTCAGGTTGAAGGCTTCTGAACCAGGCCTACCCTGTTGGCCTCGTCGTTCTACCCATTGTCTTGAAAGCAAGCAAGGCAGGTATGAGGGGTACACTTTCATTCCTTCCTGGGCCTCCTAGCAGGCTTCCTATCTGAGATGATGGGCAGATGAGCTGTTTTCTTTCCTGATATATCTATTAATGGCTAACAAAATAACACTAGAGCCAGCAAGCAGTTTGCATCTGTCCAGCAGTACCAGAAGATGCTACTTACCTCAGGATGTGAGTTGAAATAGAGACTTAGCTAAATTAGTAGAGTTAGTGCATGCTTTGTTTTTCCTTCTAGCTTTGCTGAGATATAATTGGCACATAACATTGTATAGGTCGTGATGAGTTGTGTACAACATGACGGGTTGTACGATATGTATGGTGTACCGTGTACAGTGTGGTGGGTTGATACATGTATATATTGTGAATATTTACCACAATAACACATCCTTCACCTCATATAACTACCATTCTGTTTTTGTTACAGGATTTTTCTGAAGTAGCCTGAGGTTGGGTTCCCTTCCCCTCTGTCCAAGTTGGGGACACTTATCAAGCCAAATGCCCCTCCACCCCAAGAGAGCTATCTCATGTCCAGGGCCCGACGTTGTTAATTTGCAAATTAAATAAGAAATGAGAGACAGCACCGGAGTCAAGTGACAGTCAGCTCAGACTGTAGCCCTGTGACCCTTACAAAAGGCTATGTTGGAGTGTGGAGAAATCAGGCAGTGGAATGACTAGGAGATGGTCTTATACTCTTACGGCGTTGAGTCTGTAACTGTAGGACACTGAAATGGTCAACACATTCACTTCCTTTTCTCTTTGTTCTCTGCAGGGAAGGAGACTGGTGGGAAGCCCGCTCCTTGACAACCGGAGAGACTGGTTACATTCCCAGCAATTACGTGGCTCCCGTTGACTCTATCCAGGCAGAAGAGTATGTTTTGTTTGTTGTTTTCACTCAACTACTTGCTTTTAAAAGTTAGCTGTCACAATAAAATGCCATTAACTTTGTGCAGGAGGGAAAAGAAATTCGCTAGAGTGATTTCAGGGCTGAGAGGATATGCCGTGTTTTCCCAGGCCTTGTGCTGTGGTTTTTGCCATATCTATGTAACACTTGTACTATTACTAACTTACTATTTTTCCTTACACCTGTTTTTTAAAAACATACTTAATTTGAAAGGGATCGTTATCAGAACCCTAATGAAAACCCAATATTAGGGGCGCCTGGATGGCTCAGTGGGTTGGGCCTCTGCCTTCGGCTCGGGTCATGGTCTCAGGGTCCTGGGATTGAGCCCCGCATCGGGCTCTCTGCTTAGTGGGGAGCCTGCTTCCTCCTCTCTCTCTGCCTGCCTCTCTGCCTGCTTGTGATCTCTGTGTCAATTGAATAGGTAAAATCTTTAAAAAGAAAAAAAAAACAATATTACTTGCCATAGATAGAAACTAACCAGGAAAACACGATGAAGTTCTGGCCAGAGCATATGTTGTTACTGTGAGCACAAGGTTTGAAGCCTATAGTCTGCTGAAAAAAAATGAGAGCGAGGGTGGGAAAAAGAATGGGAGTGGGGAGGGGAAGAGAAAGGCGGGGAGGGGGGTCAAGGGGGCAAGTAATTATTAAAGATCAGCATGAGATTTTCTTTCTTCATGTAATCGGAAATATTAAGGGGATACTGAAGGTACTAGAAGTATCTCACATACTCCCACAGCTCAGGGAAATCCTCTGATGGTGCATTTCAGATGCTCCTTTCCTTTGAATTGGGGTCTTGGTTGGTTTCTTTGATAGTAAATTGTGACTAGCTGTTAGCTGGACCAAGAAATTTCACTGGTACCAGTTTGGGGAGATGGTCCGTAGGCTGAGGAGATTCTAGGAGGGACAGCCATTGTTCCTTTTCCTGACCTGTGGAGGACTCCTGGCCACTTCCAAAAGGGAGAACTCTCAGAGTGGCTTGTGTGAGGACCCTCTTTTTTGAACTGAGGGAAAGAAAACTGGCCCAGGACTCCCAAACCTGGGGATCTCTCCTCCTCCCTGATGCCCTGGGGATCTGTCTCTTCTGGGAGTCTTGCCTTACCAGTAAGGGAGTCAAGAAAGTCAGACACGAGGCCACCTTTGGCTCTGGTACTGCATTTTGCACTGGGGGTGAGACTGCACACCCCAGCCAAACCCCCAGCTGGTTCACCGTCTTGCCTTTAATTCCTTTATATTCGCTCTAAGACAGTTGCTTTTGTTCCTCACTCCCAAATACTCAGTGCTTCTGCGCTCATTTTTTTCCTTCTAGGGAGTGTGTTTTATCATCAGAAAATAAAGGAATTTGTATCGAATTTTTATTTTAGGGCACGTTTGCAAACATCTTTGTGTTCGTTCAGAATAAAAGGTACCACTAAATGTGGCATTTTGATTTAACTGGGAACCTACCAACTCTATATTTACGTTATATACGTGTGTAATGTAATATATTTTTTAAATACTTTGTTTTTAAAGAATAAATTAGCATTCTAAGGAGATAACGCGTATGGTTTTACATAGGCAATTAATTACCATTATCTGAAAATGCTCTTGTTTTAGTTCCATCCATTGTTCTAACAGCTCTTTTTTCAGCACTGTTCGCGTTCGTGCTGCATTTTCATTGGGCGGCTGATGCAAACCCAGAAAGTCATTTTTCATAAATAATTGTTGTGATTCTCTTTCCACCGTCTAGTGCTAAGTTAGGATCATTACCCAGTCCAGTGCCTTTAAAAGTCACTGAGGAGCCCGCTTGCCTCGTGTCTTTTCTCATCTTCAGTGAGGCTCTTTCATTCATAAAAGAATTTGACAGGGAACACATAATAGCTGTGTTCAAGTATAATGAATTAAAATTTCATTTTAGAAACTGGATCCTTTCACAGTCGAATATTCTAAAATTGTTTCTAGGCACAGATGCCAGCAGGGCGCTCCTGACTTCCTCCTCGGGTTCTCACAGCACCTGCTGCTGCTGCTTCAGCACCCCGTGCGGAGACGTTAGCCAAGGGCGGGGCCACAGTTAGGGCTGCAGGGTGGGAGGGAAGAGAAGAGATAAGCAGCCGAGGTTGTGAGCTGACTGGAGGTGCTGCCTTCTCACATGGCACCAGAGTGTCGTCTCAGGGAGGGTAGGAAGCGTCTGCAACGCCAGTCATTTGTTAGGGACGCGCTCGTTGACTGTTCACAGGGACCCATCCCTGCAGCTGTGCCGAGCACGCATGCGCAGATCCCCACCCACCTGCGGGCAGAGCCTTTCATTTACCCAAGTCCTCACACCTGCTGGCCAGGAAGAGCATGAAAGCAGGCATCCAAGGGCAGCAGTCATCTCAAATTAGGGGTCGTCTTGACAATTTTTTTCAAAGCTGCTATAGGTACAAAGTTACTGAAAATATCGGGTCTTTGTTCTTTATCCGTTCTGACTTTTTTTTAATGCTTGATTAATGATCTTATCTAGACGAAGGCTGCGTTTCATTATTTCCCAGGGGTTGTAATTATGCTCCGAAATCCCAGGGTCTTGGAGGTGTGCGTGGGAAGGGTCTCCTGCAGTTGCCGTTTCAAAACAAGGTCTTGGATTTCTCCTTTTGTGAATGCAGGGGGCAGTGTTAACACAAACCAGTTCTTGTCACTCTGGAAGGGAAGGGAAATCAGCCACGATTCGAAACTGATTTTTTTTTTTCTTTAAAGAGTGAAAGAGATGGATTAGGGATGGATGGAATCAGGAGCAGACTGAAAGGGAGCGAGATGAGGCTAGGAAGACATGTAGAGGGAAAGGCTGCGGATGTGATCGGAGGTGAGGAGGAGTGCTATTGCATTTTTGTAAATGAGCCTTACAAAACGCTTCCTTCCCTTGATCTCATTTAAAGGTGGTACTTTGGAAAACTTGGCCGAAAAGATGCTGAGCGACAGCTTTTGTCCTTTGGAAACCCGAGAGGTACCTTTCTTATCCGTGAAAGTGAAACCACCAAAGGTAAGATAAGGAGTTGAAGAACTTGGTTGTCATTCAAATCTGTGGATTAGTCAGAGGGGATGAAAGGCTTATCTCTAATGTACAAGGGTTTTTAAATGGCACATATCCTCCCTGCCTTGTGAACGGAGTCCTATTTTCAGTTTTCCCTCCAGGCTCTAGAACTGCAGACAGCTAAAAGGCCTGCAGAGGCTCAGAATCAAGCCCTTCGTCCGGAAACAGAGGCCAGGCAGCTTCACTCCTGCAGGCACACAGGATCATAGAATTTGCAGCAGGTCTTTAGAATTACGATTTTCTTCAACTCTTAGTTTCTCAGGCACCAATCCTACAGGTTGTTCTTGCATTCCTTTTGTTTTTTCAAAACTGACTGCTTTCCTCCAGCCGCCGGCCTTTTATTATTTAACCACACGTTAGAGCCCAGGAGAGAAGCTGGGCCAAGGGAAAGCAGGAGCAGTGGCCTTCCAGCTTGATCTACCAGACGTGGGGGTCTGCTCCTGAGACAGGGCTGTGAGAAGGAACTGGAGGCTTCCTTTTAGAGCCACAGTCCTTACACCTGTTTAACTCACACTGCCTCTGCGACACTCCATGGACAAGGATGATGAGGAAAGCCACCCCTGCTGGCTGGGCTTTGTTGCTCTTCTCTTCATCTCCCCCCTCCCCAGGGGAGTTGGGGCTGTACCCTATTAGGCAACACGAGGGTACTAAAGAGAGTGTTGTAGGAAAAGCCCAGGTGGGCTTTCATTCTCAAGGATAAAATCACTGAATTGCTGCTATCTCCTGACACTTGTAATAAAGAGGTGTTTTCTTCCGCTGAGTGGAAGTGTGTGTGTGCACCTGTGTGTGCGCGTGTACACATGCGTGCGCGCGTGTGTGTCCTCTTCATAATTGGTGATCAGAATCCTCAAGTAAACGAGACCCAGAAGACAAACGAGCTCGCAAAATGATTGGAGCTGCTGATGCTATGTGCGTTTTTACCAGGTGCCTATTCACTGTCAATCCGAGACTGGGACGACATGAAAGGAGACCACGTCAAACATTATAAAATTCGCAAACTTGACAATGGTGGATACTATATTACCACCCGGGCCCAGTTTGAAACACTTCAGCAGCTTGTACAACATTACTCAGGTAACCCTAATTCTAACTAACTAGTAACCCCTGGTACCCTGGAGGGGATGGGTAGGCGAGGGAGGGGGTGTGTGTTGGGGGGGATGGGTACAAGCATATACGAAGTCAGCAGTGACAGTTCGCCAGCCGCACAAGGTGGGGCGCCGCTGAATAGGTTCTACCAGTGTTGTTATTAGTTCCATATGTATACGTTTGTCAAAAGACTAACATTTTAGTTCCCAAGGACAAAGCAGTAAGTTAAATTATAAAAGCCTTCGTCTTTTCCTGTTCCCCTGGAGTCTGGAATCGGAAACTGTGACAGGAGAGGGAACAGTGTCTGGGAGGGAACTCACAGGGGTCTCCTGTCGGGGGTCCCCCAGTTCACACTCAGCACTCACAGGAGTGGCTGCACATGCTTTTCATTCCCATGACCAGAGGAATTTTGCAATCCACTTATCATGTTCTGTTTCTCCACCAGTGCTGCTGTTTCCTAACGAGATACTGTAGACTGTGTGACCCACACACGTAGCTCGGTTACAGCTCTTGTATGAAACTTAGGAACAGTCAGTAGAGCAGTCGCTGTCCTGACCCCCAATGTCACTGCTAGTGTGTTGTTCCTAGAGATGTACACTCACTAGGTGTTTAGGTGTGCAGTCTGTACATTTTAGTAGAGGATGTGGTCTTACACATAAGTATCAAAATGACCACTTCTGTTCCAAGATTAGCAAAAGCCTCCCACTATGTAACATACACAGGTGGTTTTTTATATAGATACATATGTACAGATATAGAGCTATGTCCCCTTAAACCCAGTAGTGTTTTTGTGATGTGTATGTGTGTGTATCTGTATATATACACTCATATATGCATATACACATAGACACATTTTATATTGTTCTTCAAGACACTAATAACACCACAAAATAGTGCACGACTTGATCTCAACTATTGCTCTGTGCACATTCATTTTAAAAAATGTGTGTGTCATTTTTTAGCACCAAGAAAAGCAATCTTTTGAAAATGACAATAAGAAACACCTCTCAGTTGATCCTGGGCACTAATGAAAAAGTGAAAAAATTAACAACACTTGGAGTTACTCGTTGATTAGGACATTGGGTAGCTTTAGTTTATGTGGGTTCTAATGAAACATGTAGTAGAAATGAAGCAGAATATCTCCTCGAGCTTAAACAACATACTCAAAATGCCTGCATGTGTAAGGATTTTTTCAGATGCTGAAATCTATTTCATTACAGCCAGACATCAGCAGGATCCCCAGGGTTTGGATCATTTGAAAATATTGTGTTGGAAAGGGCACCTTAATAACATCATAAAGCTGGAAGGAGAGAAGGGATATGAAGAGCAGTAGACGTTTTTTAATCTCAAAAAAAATCCATCTCAAGTTAGATTTGTTTTTATATTGGCTTTTCCTCTTCCCTCTTTCCCTCTCCCACACAATAAAGTGTCTTTGAAATACTGACACATAAATAATTTCCTGCCTAAACATCTCAGAACCTGATCCTACCACAAAGAAAGGAGTAAAAAGTAACTTAGAGCTGGTTCCCAGAGAAAAGACAACAACCCTACATATGATTTCCCTGGGTCTGAGGGGCCTCCAGGGGGGTGTGGGGCTCTGTCCACCTCACAAGCCAGGCTCTCTACAGCCTTTGTCACTGCCCTGATTCCTCGTGCTTTGTTACCTTCCCTTACCTGACAAGATGTTTCATTTGGCATTCAAGCAATTTCTCCCCCTCACCACTGCCAGATTCTAAAAGGTATATTCTTTAAAAAAAAGAAGAAGAAGAAGAAGGAGAAGAAGAAAGAAAGAGAGAAAGAAAAGAAAGAAGAAAATTCCAAATAACCCATAAGTGATAATTGTTTTCCTTTGTCTTTTTCGTAGGAAATAGAGTGCTTTCACATCCTTGAGTTTCTGCAGATTTCAGTTTCCTTTCTTTCTGTTTTGAAACCAGATTTCTAAATTATATATTAGAGATTGTTATAAAGATTTGTTTTAATGGGAAATATCAAAGAAGCAAGAGTATCTGATTGGTAGAATAGAGTCAGTTAAAAAGCCAGAGAAATCCTAGAGAAATGTGACCTCTTTCTTCCCCTGCCAGGTATAATCTTTAGTCTTACTAGTTTATAATAGTCTAACATTCTATGGAAAGATCCTGTACCAAAGTTACAATTTTAAGTATATTCATAGCAAAGAAGGTCCCTAAGCCCTTGACATACAGAGGGAGGGGACAGTCGTGCTGATGTTCTGTAGTCCAGATGTACCCTTTGAAATCAGCGGAAGTATTTTCAGGATTCCAGAGACATGATATTAGCATACTGGGCAGAAAACATTTTTCTTCCTTAGTGAGTATAGAAACCAAAACAGCCGTACCTGTACCTGTATATGTGCGTAGCCTATATTATACCCGGAGGCACAGAGCAGTCCACACCTAAAATGTCCTCTGTCCTACCTCCAGTGAACATGTTTCAATGTCTGGTGTCTAATCTTCCAAGATGTGTGCAGTTCTCTGCTGACGTAGCGCTGTTTTGAGCAACGCCGTGCGCTCGCTGGGTTTGTGTAATTCTAAGTGTTGTTTCACGTGTTCTGCTTTTCTCTCCCTCTCCTGCTGCTGTCCCCGCTCCATCAGAGAGAGCCGCGGGTCTCTGCTGCCGCCTAGTAGTTCCCTGTCACAAAGGGATGCCAAGGCTTACCGATCTGTCTGTCAAAACCAAAGATGTCTGGGAAATCCCACGAGAATCCCTACAGTTGATCAAGAGACTGGGAAATGGGCAGTTTGGGGAAGTATGGATGGGTATGCTGAGACTCAATTATTCTATTACTAGCTCTCTTGTTTGGGAAGTCCCAAACATCCAAGATGGAAGGTGAAAAATGAAGACTTTATGGCCTGGAAAAAGGTTTAAATTACTAATAGTGGGGAATTATGCCTTTGATTTGAATTTCAAAATTCCGGAATTTCCAAAAGAGAGATAGCCGTCAAGATTGGCAGATGGCTCAAATTATGCTATGATATGAGTTTTGACTCATAAGCCAGAAAATAGTATAAGGCATGTTCCAGCCTGCACAAATGCCTTGCCTTTCATTTTCAAGTGCAATTGTTTGCCCAGTGCACTGTCACCCCACAGGGCAAGTCACCTTCCATCTTTCCTAGTGCATGCATAATTATGGATTATAAGGACTGTGTTTTCTTTATTAATTCCCTTTCCTTTAGAGAAAGCTGATGGTTTATGTTTTAACTTAACTGGGATTGCATCGAGTTGTACCCCACAAACTTCTGGATTGGCTAAAGATGCTTGGGAAGTTGCACGTGATTCATTGTTTCTGGAGAAGAAGCTGGGTCAGGGGTGTTTCGCTGAAGTGTGGCTTGGTAAGGCAGAGGGCACATTTCATTTTGGATGCATCTCAAAGCCAATTTAAAAGACCGTTTGGGGCAAAAACATCCACACAGTCGTTGGGACCAAGACATTTAACCTGGCTAGCTAGATAGGCACAGGACATTCAGATCTTGAGAATGTGGCAAAACCGCTGCACTTTTCTGTCCTTCTTCATATAGTTAATGAAGGCAGGCACACACAGAACAAGAAACCAGTACAATAAGAGTCCATTGTTTCCTCTTCCTAAGACCTGGGAAGGTAAGATACTACAGACAGTTACTATAGGAAAGACCATGGGCTTTTTTGCTCAGTAGGCCTGGGTTTGAATCCTTACTAACTGATTAACCATGAGCAAGGGGCCAATTTAACCTCTTTGTGCCTTTGTTCCCTCATCTGTAAAATTGGAATGATACCTACTTTTTAAGATTGAGGATTACACGGGACAATGCACTTAGAGTCCCCGTGTATAGGAGATGCTCAGTAGACACTCCTACTTCCCCTTAATTTGGTTGTCATGTCGTTGATCAGGCTGACTGCACAGGGACCCTCCCACTGCTTTCATAACACCCTTTGGGCCCTGTTGCAGCTTTGCTTAAAGAAAATCCATAAATTTGGTCCCACCCAAACACACTTGTCAGTGAGACAGATGTTGGTGCTTATGGAATCCTCCTTCTTTCTTTCTTAGATTCAATTAAAAACAAAATTTTTTTTAAAATGTTGCTAAAAAAAAAAAAATACAGGTAGGTACCTGTTGCCACATGTACCTGTCAGTGGTGGTCCGCATTAAAAGGTTTAACACAGTGAAAGCACTTGGAACAAAGCCTGACAAGGACCAAGTGTTTATATAGATGTAGATACAGCAGTGAGGTTGGAGATGGACGCTCAGACTTACACGTTTGTGTGTGTACACATAAGATACTGTATAATAAGTGTGTATAAATATCTTTATATGGCCTTCCTCTCCCTCATCCGCCCAGTTTGTAATTGAAGTTGTAGATGCCAAGGATTTTAATTCAATCAATTATGCAGTCAGGAAGAATCAGACGTTATACAAAAATTTATTATCAAACTTTATAATTAACAACTTTAAATCAGTATGCCATACTATTAAGAATCTGTTTCCCACTGAACATAAAACATCAAGTTATGCTAGTTCAGGATCATGAAGGAGTGCCAGTGAGACTAACTGTGTTGTTATTAGAGAAGAAAATCTCTATTTAAAATTTTGGGATGCTAACAGCACTCAAATAAGAAAGACCACTGACAGATTGTCAGATTTTCCATTTATAGTTAGTGGTCAGATGTTTTATAAGATTTGAATGAACTCTTCTTTAAGCCACTGTTCTTTCATAACTTAGATTCTTGTAGGTTGCATGCTGTAATTATATGAACCATGTCTCGAACAGGGTGACAAAAGTTCACTGAATTTTTTAATTCTGAAGTCAATTATATTCAATATAAAAATTTTAATTTAAACCACTTTTCTAAATAGAAAAGGTGTACTCTAACTTCACAGATCTTTCTGTTTCCCTTAGAGATATAAGTCAAAGTCCTAGAGCTAATAGTGGAATACACATTGAACTTGCATTTTTTCTTTTTTTTTTTTTTTTCTTACATTTGGGGCTGAAAGAGATTCAAAAGATAATCCAGTTCCATTCCTATGTTTTACAGATGAGGCAACCAATGATCATAAACCAGGCCTGTCTCTGTACCTACCTGATTTTAACATGTTATGCCTAAATATTTCTGTTCCCTCTTAGCTGCTGTTTGATTTTTCCACTCTAAACTGATAGAAGCTATTGTTCTTGTGGCAGACCATCAGTAAACCTGAGGAATTTTCCTTACCTGGTTGAAGTATGGGGCAAGTAGACTGCGAGCTTCTTGCCAATGCTTATCAGCATACTTGTAATCTTACTTCTGTATCAGCTGTTCAAGGACTCAGTCAAGTAGCCCATTTACTGAAAACAGTTAAAGTCTGGAGGTAATCTCCAGACATCCTCAATGTGTTGCCATGGTTTTTTTTTTTTTTTTAATGGCACACTTCATAACATGGAACTTAATCTAGTTTCTTCCACGCTCCCTCTACTACCTAAGGGATAGCTATGGGATGGCTGGGCCTGTTCTAACCTTTAGACATTCGTCTTTGTAAAGAAGTGTCCAGAGCTTTTGGTACCAATTTGTAGTCAAATGGGTGATTACGGAACAGGAAAGTGGCATGTATCAAAATAAGAAAAAAGTTGCAAGAATTATAAACCTTAATATAGCCATAAGGAAACACATTTTTCCTGTTGAAATATTTGACAGAGTCCTTACATTTGATTGTCCTCATTCAACAAAAAAAGATACTAAGTTCTTCTAAGTTAAACTCTAACTTTATGCAAGTAGCTATTGATTTAAAATCTTTTTTTTTCCCCCCATCAAAAGAGGATCTTGGATTTAACTTAATATTGTGGGATGTGTGCAGGTACCTGGAACGGAAACACAAAAGTAGCCATAAAGACACTTAAACCAGGCACAATGTCCCCAGAGTCATTCCTTGAGGAGGCACAGATCATGAAGAAGTTGAAACACGACAAGCTGGTCCAGCTCTACGCCGTGGTGTCTGAGGAGCCTATCTACATTGTCACCGAGTACATGAACAAAGGTTAGGCCCCACCTCACAGCTGACCCACAGAGGTTGTTCTGGGGAGGGCAGTGGCGGTGCCTGCTTGCTTTTTTCCTAGTTTCTTCATGAGTCAAGCATTCCCATGAGTGAAGCACAAATTGTGTGCTCATTAATGAAAACATTTTTTTGAAACAGACCATGACCTTGAGTTTGCCCCCCACATACTTATGAAATGCAACACCTTCTGCACGCTGCACATGTCAGGAGTCCCAGCTCCTGGCCGTAATGAAAGCATTCATTTTTAATATCAGGGATGGCGTGGGAGGCTATGATCATCTGCTATCACTTCGAATGCCATGGGCTAAATTTTCTTTTTCAGGGCTGAACGGTTAATATCAGACACAGATCTCTGGGTTCAGTTTAGTCTCCATCTTCTCAGCACCTTTGTTTTTCCAGAATGCTTCTTAAACATCAGATGGAGAAAAACGTGCTTTTAAAGAGCACATTTTTTTTTTTTTTGAAGATTTATTTACATAGTTTAGAGAGAGAGAGAATACAAATGGGAGGGGCAGAGGGAGAAGGAGAGAGAGTGTCAGGAGACTCCACGCTGAGCACAGAGCCTGATGCAGGGCTCAGTCTCAAGACCCCGAGGTCATGACCTGAGCTGAAGCCAAGAGTTGGGCTCTCAACTGACTGGCTGCCCAGGCATCCCAAAGAGCACATTTTATTCTCATTCTCTCTCTTTCTAATCAAAGCATTATTGCCAGGGATAAGGCCAAAGATCACTTTGTTTTGGAAAAATAGACAAAGCAAACAAGAAATAACCTTAAAAGGCAAGCATTGCACATCAGAGGACACCGGTGTAATTTTTACTTTGCACATACTTTCTTTTTCAATATATGTAGAATTCTTGTTTACCTGGCAAATGCTTTGTCCTTTGTGTCCGGGGTTATTTGGTAAATAACTTTGTGATTAAAGCATGGAAGCAATCACAAATGATCATTGTGAACCTCCAGCCTCTGCCGGTGATTGTTTCAGCCCTGGTGTTGGTCCTGAGCTCCTTAAAGGCCCGGAGCTAGCAGGGGGAGCTACCTGCCCCACTCTGTATTCCTCAGATACTCTTTCCTTGATTTAAAATCTGTAAATAAGCGAGGCCAGTGATTCTCGAACTTTGCCATGTGTCAGAATCACTCAGGAGGCTTCTTACAATGCAGGTTTCTGGACCCAGCTTCCAGCATTTCTGATTCTGAATCTTGGGTAGAACCCGACAGCTTGCATCTCTAACAAATTTCCCAAGGCGTGCTATCCCCCTGGTCCCGGGACCACACTTCGGGAACCACAGGGCTGGACATGGTCTTTCCCATGTCCCTCCTCTGTGTGGGGCTGCCGGGGGATGAGGCTGAAATGGTGCAGCTCCCCACGTGTGCCCACGTGTCCTTCTTTGTGACACAAAAGGAACCGTATTCCATGTATTGTGGTTTTTATCAAACCTTTGTTGTCCTTAGAAATGGAGTCAGCATTGTTTGTTTCTGAAAGAAAACTGCTGCCTCTCAAGGCACAGAGTTTTTTCCTACCCTCCTTTTTTTTTTTTTTTTTTTTTTTTTTGGTATAAATCTTTTCTTCATTGACCGCATTATTCATTCAATCACCTCATTCCTTCTAATAAGAAAACCAAATATCGCCCTTTGTCAGGCATTTTTATCTTTCAGAATAAACTGAAATGGTTTTATATTTTGTTCACAGGAAGTCTACTTGATTTCTTAAAAGATGGGGAAGGAAGAGCTCTGAAATTACCAAACCTTGTGGATATGGCAGCACAGGTAGGCCTCGTGGCCCTTGGACCCTTGCCTCAGGTTTAGCGCCGTGTAGGTGCATCGAGTCATGGTGTGACTTGTGTCCTGTTCCCTGGTCCCCACAGGTTGCTGCAGGAATGGCTTACATCGAGCGCATGAATTATATCCACAGGGATCTGCGATCAGCAAACATTCTAGTGGGGAATGGACTCATATGCAAGATTGCTGACTTTGGATTGGCCAGATTGATCGAAGACAATGAGTACACAGCAAGACAAGGTGGGCATTTCCATAGGATAGCTTGTGATCACATCCTTGGGGACAGTGACTTACTGCACGGTCCTTCCTCTCTCCTTCCATGCCCTTCCTCCATTTGAAATGGCATTCTTCAGCTGAGGTTTTTCTTCCTGATCTGGCAGGAATCTGATAGCTCTGCAGGTGGGAGACTGTAGTGGGTTCAATAGATGGACAAGATGTTGCTTTCTGGCGAATGAGTGTCCACCGAGGTGGTCTTCCTGGCTTGTGCTGCCCTCCTCACATCCAGGCCTGGGACGCTTTACTTTTGGGGAATGAGGGCTGTGGAAGGCCAAAAGATAAGTCAGATAACAGCTCGTCATTCCATCGAAGTCTCAGCAGAACACAGAAACACGTTCACTGGAGAATTTAATAAGGGAGTTATTCATAAAGGCATGGGCAGAGTTAGGAAAACCAACATGGCATAGTGTGAGATCCTAGAGCTAGTAAGTAACAGCCACCCAGCGGGCCAGAGGCCAGAGGGCAGTGGGGAGGGAACCTCCACCAGAGCTAAGAACAAGAGGCCACATTTGGCAGAGAAAGGCCAGGCATGGATCCGGTGATTTGTACCCAAGCTCACTCTTCGGGCCTCCTCCAGATGTCCTGCCCAACCTGGCGGGAAGCCCAAGCTTAGAGGAGCCCACTGGTGAGTCCATCTGGGTCCAGAGCCAGGAGAGAGCAGAAAAGGGATCTAGAAGGAGGATAGAAAATAACAGTGTCCCCCAAGCAGCCAACCCCCCTCTAGATCATCTGCCTCCATTCTCCCTCCCCCAGAGATTTGTAGAAATCAGACTGTAGATCAAACACATCCCAAACCAGTAGCCACTCCAGTGGGGAGCTTTTTGGCTGCTTTGAGAGCACCCAGTGCCAGGGATGGAATTCCCAGGGTTATTTTCTACTGTCCTGGATCTGTACACAGCGGTCAGCGGGTAGGTGTGTGGAATTAAGTGTGCCAGACAAATGTATCCTCCTCCTGTAGAACGTAATGCTCGAGTCTGAAGGGGGTTGGGGGGGGTCATGGCTGCTGCTCATAAGCACGCCTAGGCCTTCTGAGCAGGGTTGAGCGATGATGAGGACATATTACAGGGGAATACTTTCTACTGGGTTTTAGAAGGGCCACCCTGGAATTCTGATCCTTTCTTTCTTCTTAAATTTTTTCATTTCATGCCTGTTCTTCCCTCATCATTCTCAGCAGTCTCGAGTGATGGGGGAAATGGTTAAACGAAGACCCTGGCTCATGCAGATACCGTCCAAATGCTCAGTCCCATGTTGGTCAGACAGCTCGGCTATTTGAATGTTCCCAACACTTTGCAGTTCCTGTCCTGGAGCCAAATGCCCAAACCACCAGCATGCCCTCACACACACACATGCACGCACGCACACACACACACACACACACACACACACGCTACTGCGGAGCCAGATGGCAGGCCATGTCCCTAATCAAAGGCACACGGGCAGCTGTGATTGGTGCTGGTAGTTCAGAGAGAAATGTGGATGTGATTTTGAGTCAAGGCGAGCTGAGAGGGCCTGAGACCTGGCCCTAAAAGAGAGTTCACCCCGCGGCAAACCCATCACGTCCCAACCCAGAGACCCAGAGGAGGGGGAGCAGGTGAAAGTTTGGAGCCGTGAATATTTGATTCGGGATGGGGTGAGATTGGAGTCGGTCTCAGCAGACGGTCGTGAAAGCATCCTTGTGTGCATGAGTGGAGTCCTGGTGCCAGATGGGGCCGTCCAGGATTTGTCCCTCCCCTTCTCCCGGACTCTGGACTCTACAGAATTTGTGGTAACAAATTCTGGCCTTGAACCATCCAGAAGGTTACAGGGCAGAAACCCAGGATGTGGACAGAGGCACTGCGGACAGGGCTAGAGGTTTAGTTCATGGAGTGGGGTCCTTTGGCTGTGGCCCTGGGTGCCTGGCACCGGAGGGGAAGGCATGTGAGAGCCCCTCCCCAGTTCCCTGACGGCATGCTTCTGTGGAGCGGGGCCACACTGGCCACCCTCGGCCCTGGCCATCACATCCAATCCTCGTCTCCCACCGGCTGTCCCCATCCCCCTTCTGGTGGCTTCCTCACCCCCACTGTCACTGTCCCACCTGCTGTCCTGACACCTTTTGAAGGATCAGCTTCATACCCTTTGTACAGTGTTTCCTTTGCTTAACTTCCAAATAGAGAGTCCCACCCATCCCTCTTAAAACATTTTTTGCTTCTCTCTCCTCTTTCACAAATATCTTCACATCTGTGCTAAACACTGGAGATAAGTAAGGAGAAGTAAATGATGTGGAGAACTGAACTTGGGGAAAAACAAAGGCTGTGGGGCTCTAGGATTTGCAAGGAGAATAAAAGAAATGGTCTCCTGCAGGAAAGGGAGAGGAAGGAGCTGGGGCATTTACAGGATACCTACCGAGAGCCAGCCTGAGGGGGTCACTGTGAAGAGTGTGGAGGGAACTGTTAGAAATAGACTCAGGGGTTAAGTAACTTGTACAAAGTCACAGTTAGAAAAAGGGCCAAGGCAGGATTTGAGTCCAGGTACGGCCAGCACTGTTGCTTCTGCTCTAGTCAGCTGTACTGACTGCCTCTCATCAAGACAGTCATTGCAAAAATAAAAACTAAAAACTAAGATTAGACATGAGTCTCTTTTTCCCTTTATTTTCTGGGAAAGTCTTTAAGGGGGAGCTTCTGATGTGCACGTGTGAGGGAGTTTGGAAGAGCTTTATTTTCCAGCTCTGGGACAACCCAGCTGTTTATAAAATTCCTCCCGAGGGCCTGGCCTGTCCTGGCCTCTTTACGAGGCAGAAAGGGCCCGGTCGGTGTGTATCTTCTCGTGTGCTCTGCAGATGGCATGCGAGCCGCGTGCTAACGTTCCTGCTGGGATTAACCAGCTCCTCCACACAGCTGGTCCATGTGCTGGCTAATATTTTCAAGTCGGGTTTTATGATACCCACAGGCCACGGCCAGGATCAATCTTGATCACGGAAGTGTGGGCGGTATTGAGAAGCAAGGGCCAAACACAGGTATTTAGGGACAGTTGTTTTTCAACACAGCTGTGGGTTTCCCATCTAAGGGAACACTGAAATGTCTGTCACCATCCCCCCTGCCGGGGGTGGATCCAGTGATATTTCCCAGGGCACAAGTAGAATTGAAATTTGGACATGTGTTAAACAGCCCTTCCTACGTTCCTTTCCTCTTACCACCCCCCTACCCCACTGGACTGTAAGCAGAAGCCGTGTCAGGGAGAAGGTCAAGACCAGGGTCAGAGCCTGTGAGGGTGGTCCTCTGCCAACAGCCTTCTAGAGGCAACTCGAAATTATTTGGTATTGCTCCCTAATACCTGTACGCCTCCCTCCGTCACAGCAGATCTTCTGTAGTCATAAACACATTGCTAAATTCTGTGTCAGGGTGTCAGAGTGATGCCAGCATTAATTATTTGAATGCCTTGTCTGGGAAAGGGACTTTGCTAGGAGCTACAGATCTCAAGAAGCCTGAGTTTGCACTGGGGAGGTCTGCAAGCGTGAAGAGGGACACACAGGGGGGGCGCCAAAGCCACATAAATCCATTGCCTGGGGCCTTGGCCAAGTTACTGAGCTTTTCTACACCTCAGTTTGCTTCTCTGTAAGGTGGAAATATATTTTACCTGCTTCGTGCTTTAATTTTTGCCAAGATAACAAAAAAACAATACATGCAAAGTACTTAGTACAGTGCCCAGAACATAGCAGGTGGTAAATAAATGCTCCTGTTGTCATCCTGTACAAGACAGTCCTTGGGGAATAAACACGTGCAAGAATGGACTCTAGACCCAATGGAAAGGCTCAGACACTGTGCTGGAAAGGGAGAGAGGAAGCAAAGATAATGTCCACGTAGTCAAATGCACATGTCATGAGAATGGACTTGCCAGCAACAGAAATGAGGGAGTCCGGGAAGAAGAGCTCATTTTCAGAGGAAGAGGGTGAGTTTGGCTTTGGGTTTGCTGAACTTGAGGTGGTTGTGGTGGTACGTCCCAGTGCAGTGTCCAAGCCCTCACCAGGTGCCGCTGCCATGGTGCTCACCTCCCAGCACCTCCCCCCACTCCCTGCCTCACCACTTACACTGGCCTCTCCCCGCAACTTGCACCATCGCCTGAGGTCCACCCTCAGCCACCTCCCTACCCCAGCATCAGCAGAGATGGCCCCAGCCCTGCCTATGCCGTGGGCACCCCGAGGCTCTGCTGTCTGTCTGTCTGTCCTCACATATCCACACCTCACCTCCTCCCATAACCACCAGCAGGGGTGGCTGTCACCAGGCCTTTCTCTCTAAGACTCCCAGCCCCTCCAAACATCAGTTCCTTCAGAGCTCACACAAACACACAGGAAACAGGGAGAATTCTTGATCGACTCCATATTCTTCTTCATAAGCTTTCAGGAAGCCCAGCACTGACTAGTCTTTGATTTAAACCTAATAAGTTCGGGTAGACTTGGCTTGTGGATAAGAATGACTTGCTTTTGGGGACACTTATTTTTTATTTAGCCATAACATACATACAATAAAATAAGTAAATCTGAAATGTCCAACTCAGGAAGTTTTTGCACATTGGTTTGCCTCTGAAACCACCTGTGGACAAAGACACAGAGCACTGCCAGCGCCCCCAGAAGTCCACCGCCAGCCCCATCCAGCCGGTAGCGCCCAAGCAGGCAGCCGCTGTCCCCACTGCTGTCAGCAGAACTCCTGCTGGCAGTGCAACTTCATAAACACCAGTCCCAGAGTCTCACTCCCCCGTGTCTGGCTTCCCCACCATCGTGTCTCTGGGCTTCATCCTTGTTGCTGCACAGATCGGTTCTTTCCCTTTCGTGTCTGCGCTGTGTTACACTCTACAAATGCATCGCTTCTCTCTTCCACTGGCCTTTCTGATTTGGGGCCATTATGAATTAGGCTGCCATGGTGGTAGACAGCTGTCCTCCTTATCTCTTGGATAATCCCAGGAATAGAACCATTAGGGGCCCCTGGGTGGCA